CCCCAAAACCCCAAAAACCCCAAAACCCCAAAACCCCGCCTATATCATTTAGAGCCATAAACTTTAAAAATTAAAAAGCCAAAAATGAAAAACTTTTTCAAGGAAATTTCCAAAGCTTCAAAGTAATAATCGAAATTGCTCAGTTACTCTGAGAAGTAACTTTCCTTGATGAGAGATCTACGATAATCTAACTACTTTAGAGCTCTTACTGGGAAAGAATAAGAGGCTATATCAATCTAAGATAACAGAGATTTATCAAATTCCAACCCTAATAATAATGTAATAATTGTTAGTGAGCATTCCTCAAATGATGTCAAATACTCAAAGATATTAGATGAAGAGGAGCCTTTCTTGAGATCACATGAGGCAACTGATGTTGGTGTATTCGATTTAACAAGTTCGATATCAGAAATGAGCAAAACTCTTGCTGTTTGTTCTAATTTTTCAAAGCTCATTATAGATCCTGCTTAGCCTATTTTGAGTTAGAGATTAGTAAGAGAATACTACAGAGAAGAAGAATAGTCTGGAGTAAAAATTCCTATCTCTATAAATCATCAAGGTTATAGGCTGTTTGATAGACTCGAGACTTACTATCTGGAATATCATAAAATACTTCTTGATGTTTTGGAATTCATTCAACCAAATATAGTTCTAAATATTCATACTCATGATCCAGATTTGTCTTAAACAGACCTTGATGCTTTAATATATACTCCCGAAGATGATTCTAAATTCACTAATGAAATAATCTAATCACTTGAAAAGCTAAATTTAAAAACTCTAATTAAGAAAAAACTAAGATAAAATGACCATTAATTTTGTAGTCCTGTTTTATTTGAAAACTTGATCTATTATTACCAAGATAAAACTCTGGATGGATGTTATATATCCCTAAATAGCAATAAGCTCCTCTTTGAAAAGGATTTTAGAGATGGTATATGTGACAGCATATCAGAAGTTATAAGAAAATAGAGCAAATTGTGAAGAAAATAGCAAATTAATTAAGTAGCTATGATAAAAAAGAATTGAGATTGACTTCTTAATAATGAACTTGATAAATGCATATAATATAGTGAGAACAAACATTCATTTAATAATTCAACAACATTTATTAACTTTCCCCTCAGTCTTTCCTGTTCCATCATCAGTTTTATCTTTGTTAAGCTGAAATTTCTGTACCTAATTTTAATTTTGACTCTGGGGTTATCTATCATTTGCATGGTCAGCATCTCCACCTTTTTTACCTCCTGTGCTCTCCATTCCTGGAAGGCTTTACGCAAGGTTTTAGAACAATTAGCGAATATTTATTCCTGCTTTCGCACTTGTTTCGATGAACATAACATCTAGTTCCTTAGCCAAAGCTTGTCCTTCTTCGGTTCCAACTTGTCTCTTCTCAGCGATGTCTATTTTATTACCAACAAGTATGATAAGGAGGTCATTTCCTCTGATTGTCTTTGCATCGTCAATCCATTTAGTCACGTTATTGAAACTTTGTTTGCCTAGTCAGAAAATAATTAATTCATCGAATTAGAAAGATAATGATTAAGTAGAGGAATATAAGAGACTTACTGGTTATATCGTAGACAACTACAGCCACTGAAGAATCTTTTATATATGATGGAATAAGACTCCTGAATCTTTCTTGACCTGCTGTATCCCATAACTAAAGTCTAACCATTTTATCATCAACATACATAGTCTTTGATAAGAAATCAATGCCTATCGTGGCCTAATTCATCAAAATTTTAATATAAATTGCCTAAAAATTAGAGACTTACCTAGTAATTTCCATCAAATGTGTCCTAAGTAAACCTTAAAATGAGGGAAGTCTTCCCTACTGATTGATCTCCTAGAAACACTATCTTATATTTCATATGCATAGTATCTCCTCCAGCACTATCGGTCATTTTCTACTTATTTAAAATTTTTAAATTAACTTTAGAAAATCAAAATTTATAATCTTAGATGAATTGACTTATGGGGTTTTGGGGTTTTGGGG